CTCAAAGACTGTGTCCTTCAAGGGATTTGTTGTGCAATGTACGATGACACAACCAAACAATGACGCATTGAGAGGCATATTTACTACACAGAGAAAATGTGTTGTCTGGAGCAGCCTTTTCCACTTTAAAGTATACAAGTACTTGTGGAATGTGAGCTCCAAGCTCCAAATGTGAAGTATTCCCTTTAAGACAGCGCGAAGCTGTTCAGTTCAAAATTGGTCGGAATGCATCGCATCATTCGGTAAGCAAAGGACGGCCAAGCCAACCTGTAGTGTCGCGGACATTTTTTAATGTGGGCAGTAACATGTTTTCGCCCTGCTACATGAAGCCCACTTCGATAGTGAATTGAACGCTGCATATCTGCCCCTCCTAGTTCACTGCTGGCCATATTTCGGCGTGCTGGTGGCAATGTCGCAGTGAGGTCTGGTTCACACCTGTTCCCCGTCCGTCACATGCGTCTATTGGGCGCTGCAGATACCGCGAGGTGCAGGCCCAGCACAAGAACTATTTCGCGTACGTGTCTGAAAACAAGGAAGTAACCAAGCTGGTCGTCCTGCTCGGCAACTGCACTCACAACACCAGAATGGTACGCTATTCTCCCCCGTTTGGCGGCACCGTGCGAGGCAGCTGATCTGTCTCGACAAGTACCAGAGAGCACACGCTTGAGCACCCGCCCAACTTGAGGAAAATGCCTCACTGTGGTGATATATGTATAAGTGGCATCTCCTTAGCAGAGTCGGCCCGCTCACCCAACCACTGTTCATGCAGCTCCAACACGTCCTCAGACTGCTACACTTTCTAAGGTGATGACCACTGTATGTTGGGCGCTGGCGGCTGGTGCGCCGCTGGCCGCCGCTGCCGCTGCTCGCGTGCTGACGCCCCTGCGGCGCGACTTCCGGCAGCGGCTGAACGCGCTGCTCGATGAGTGGTCGCAGTACGACCACCTGTGGCGGCAGGACCGCCCGGCCGCCATGAAGCGGCTCGCCCGCAGCCCGCCCTCGCTGTTCGAGTTCGAGGAGCAGCTGCAGCGCTACCGCGACATCGAA